CATGGGCAAGAAGCCCCCGTCTGGACCAACAACACTCAAAAGCCTGGGGTCTGCACTGGCAAGCGCTCTTCAGCTTTTAGGAGGCGAATGTTCCCTCCCGGGAAGTATTCAGCTAGAGGTTGGACTGTCAGCTGCTGGGGGGGGCCCCTGGCACCCCTTCTTGAAAATCCGACTTTAAGCAGGAGTTGGACTGCTTGACCTTCAGGGTCCCTTCTATAGTTTAAGGCGCAATCTTACGAACAAAGAAACGAATGAACGAATGAGCGAGCGAGCGAGCAAATGAGCAAGTGAGCCAACCGCCAACGGGAAGGGAGGGGAGGGAAGGGAAGGGAAGGGAAGGGAAGGGAAGGGAGCAAGCTAGCTAGCTAAGCTGGCCGGCGCATGGTAGTTTTAGAGACCTTTTCCTGTCAGACCTTGCACAGAACCGCACCTTCATTACACCAGTCCCAATGCGCACGTTCCAGAGGCGAGCTTGCCCTCACGGAAGAGTGCTGCCTGGAGATCAGCCGATGGACTCAGCGGTGTCGCTAGAAGAACCTCAGACCCAGACTCAGTGGCCTTGAGGAGGAGCGTTGAGAAGGCCATGCCTATTTTCCTTCGGCTGCCACAGGCACAAAAGACGCCCCTTTTCTCCCCACCACAAGTTGCTTGCTTCACAACAGCCTCAGCCTTCCTGATGCCACGTCGATGCGATACAAGCGTTTTTCCAGCCCCGATTTTGCAAGGAAAGAAATACCCTGAGCGCACACGCAGGTTTGCTTTTAACCTCGCAATCCGATGTCCTCTGCCTTTGCGGAACCTCAGGCCATCGAGACTTCGCACGCCTGTGCTCCCTTCGCAAACTTTATGCTGCACCCCGCTAAGGCAACCATTTTTAAAGCATGGTGGAGGGGAAAGAAGAGTTTACTCCTTTTCCCTCTCTGAGGCCCATTTCAGCCAGAAGCAGGCTTCTGTGCACCTGGGCAGAGACACTGGATTGCAAACTACCAGCTTACAATTCAAAAGGACGCAACAGTTAAGGAAGGGTGGGTGCGGATGGAAAACTGTTTTCAACCGGGTGGGCCGAATGGCCCTCTTTGCCTCGTATCCCCTGGTTGGAGCCAGCCACTTGCCTGTCTCCCTCTCCCCTTCTCCAAATGACACAAAATTCTAGGACGCCGATGGAATTTCGCTCTGTGGCTGGCACTCCCTTTGTCTGGAATGACACCCTTCTTCTCACAGGCGCTGCATCTCCGGCAACCTTGGGAAAGAAGAAACTGGACGGCAAGCCAAGATCCCCTGATTCGGCATATTCCTTCCACCTGCAACAAGCACGGATCATTTGAGGACGGGCTGGAGGGAGGACGTGCCAAGTAGTTCCTGGCCCCGAGCCCAACTTGGGAACGAATATTGGAGCTGGAGAGCACCCCACCATGGAAGAGAAGATGTGCCCATAGCTGGCAAGCCAAGTTCTTCACAAGTCATTTCAAACACACGCACCCCGAAAGTGCACGCGGGCAATCCAAGCTTTGCACCAAATCCTGCTTCCCCAAAGCTTCCGGCCTGCTCCCAGCCACGGAGTGCCTCCTTCCCAGCTGGTCCAGTGAGCCTTGCCCCCAGGGCCGGCTGTACCAGTGGGCACCGTGAGGCAGGCAGGCAGGCAGTCAGCAAATGCTGGGAGGCATCAGCGAGAGGTGAGGGGAGAGAGCTGAGCCCCAGATGGCTTGTCCTGCCTCGCACCCTGAAGCTCATCCACCGTTCTAGCATCAAGGCTGAAGGAGCAGGAGGTTGTCTCTCATTTTTCACCCCCAAAAGATCCCGGGTCAGCCCTACACCTTTCCCCTTTCCAGCACTGAGGAGAAACATCCTTTGAGCTTCAGCAGCAGGTAAGAGACCTGGTCCATTTGACCATGTGTATTGAGACCAGCAGTTTTCAGCAAGGTCCCCAGCAGAGCGGAGTTCCCCCAATCTAAGCTGCGGGTAGCAGGGAAGGTGCAAAGAAAGTTTTACCTGTTGGCAGTGTCGTTTTCCCCTCCACACAATGCAAACCGGATCTGCGATGTTTTCTCTTCAACAGAATTTATTTCTCATCATGAGGAGCAAAAAAAAGCAAACGCTTCACCTGCCTGCCCTTATTTGTAATTTGGGAATAATAATGCTTGCCAGAACAAATAGCCAGCTTTATTACACAGAAATTTATGACTCACCCTTTCAAGTGCAAGCTCTGAGCCATGAGGGCTAGAAACTTGACTTTCAAATGGAAGTTGAAACTTTGAGGAAGCCGAATTCTGTGCCTGACGCTAGTTTTCTGCACCATCAACCCACAGCATCGAAGAAACACTCCATCCATACAGTGCCTTATCTACCTTTCTCTTCCTTGCATTCCCTCAACAAGTCCTCCCCGCCCCCCAGCAAATTGAAAATCTCTCCACAGTGAGAACCTTGGCACGTGTGCAGCTTGAACTTCAGGAGTGCTTCCAATGGCTGAAAGCAGTGTGAATTTTGCACCCCTATCCAATGATAATTGCCCACAATGTTTCTCTCCCCGCATCCACCCCTGTGTAATCCATTAAGTTTATGGAACACTGCCATGTTCTTTTAACAAATCAGAAAGACTCATCACTTTATACCCATCTCTGCCACTCTCAAAAGTATCTTGAAAGCTGTTCGTTGGCACAGGAGGAACTTCTGGACCTTGAAATGTCTCGTGGTCGGGACACATCTTGATAGGGGGCCTAGATTAACCCCAAACTTCACCCCATCACTGGCATGACTACCACAAATCTGCCACCTATTTGATCCTTATGAATTCAATGAATCGCTCATCTGCAAATTCAACATGCACATTGGTAAACCAAAACCCAAAACCAGTCTTTCCAAAAGTAGAAAATACTTGGGGGAAATGCAGAGATAGTGGGTATCTGATCAGAAGAGGCATTCCTTCCTATATCTGTGAGAGAAAAGGGCATGCTTCCTTTAAGATGATGCTAGAAGAGGCATTCTCTTCTGTGTGTGCCAGAGAAGAGAAATCCTCCTTCTACAATGGATTTAGTAGAGACATTCCTTCCTGTGTGGGGGGGAAGGAGCACCACTTCTCAGATGCTGCGGAAAGAGGCATTCCTCCTGTGGAAACAAGGGGGATGCCTCTTCTGCAAAGTTGCGAGAAGAGATGATCCCTGCTGTATATGTAAGAGCAGAGAAGACGCTGTTTCTAACTGTGCTGGAAGAGGTATTCCCTCCTGTGTGAGAAAGGAATGAGATCTATTTTAAGGCTTTTATCAGCACTTGAACTAAGTTTCATCCCTTCACGATTCCTTCCATCTGCAGCCGCGAATAGAGTGCAAACCAATTTTAAAAATTGCCCAATTATCCAAATGTTTTTCATCTATCAAATGTCACAGCCTTTGTTGGCAACATTTTCTTCAGGCTGTTCTGGCTAGCATCTGAGTAGGTTGATTCTCGCAACATACATCTGCGTAAAGACAGGCACTCGAAGGGGAAATGACAGGCCGAGGCTGCATGGCTGGAGAATTTGAACCCAGGGCAATGCAGTGCAATGCAATACAACTTCTGTTCCTGTTACACCAGGTCTCTGAGTTTTCATCCACAGAACTCATTTCCGAGCCTCAAAACCAGACTTTGGGCCACAGCCCGTACCAAGCAATGTTCTCTATTTCCATGGCCTCAAAGGCCCTTTGCACAAGCTGAAGCATCAGAACCGCTGCGAGGGCTATTTACACGTGGACGCGTGTAATGCACATGTGGATGCGTGTAATGCGTGTGCATTACAGCTCCATTTGCAAAGCACCTGGGAGATGAGACAGAATGTTTCCGCCTCCATTGCAGGCATCTCCAGTTATTAAAAAAAGGATCACGCAACAGAAGAGAGAGGAAACCTCTTGGAGCACCATCTTGGGCAGGCTTAGACAGGAGAGAGGCCTACAAGTCCCAGCATTCCACAGCCAGCCTGGCTCCACTTCCTGCCACCCCCTTTGATGCCATCTGCCTGGTTTTTTGAGGGGGTGAGGCTGAAATCCGAGGCCTTCGTCTCCCTGTCCATGCATCCCGACAGGGTGTCCTTAGGCAACAGGGTCTGTGGGGTGGGAGCAGACTTTACCGCATATGTGAATTAGAATATGCACATTTCCTTTTGGAACCTGCTGTTGCCTCTGGGGGTGGGGGAAAATATTCGCAAGGCTGCAAGGGATCGAGCCTCTACCTTGATCCCGCAAAGCCATCCTGCTTGTAGTTTTCTCCATCTGGATCCCTACCTGGGTGCGTTGTTCTTACATCCTCTGAACAGCCGCAACGACACCATCACACCCGCACGTCAAGTGACACGTGAAACCAGGACGAGACTCAGGCGAGGAAACCCACCGAGGCAAACAGCCCACGGCTCACCATCCAGCAACAAACCAGTTCTCCTCATGGGCTCAGGTTAACCCTCCATGGCTTATTTGCGCACCACACAATCCATCCTCCATTCTTGGGAGTGGACTCTCACATTGTCTCAGCCAGCTACTTTCACACATCGAGCAACAATCTATACTGGTCCCACAGCTCTGCGAGGTAGGCTAGGCTGAGAGACGATTGACTGGCGCAGGGTCTCCCAGTGAGATTCACGACTGAAGGGCTGAGCTCGGGTCTCTCAGGTCCTAAGCAGTCAGCCTGAAATTTGGACTACAGCTCCCATAATCACTGCCCATTAGTTCTGCTGCCTGAGGCTCCTGGATCTTGGGACCCACTGCTTCTATCGCAAGGTTTTACCGACACGCTCCAAATAAGACTCACGGACAAACAGAAGTCCCAGCCTCAGAGCTGCCTCACCGCATCCCCCTGCCCTGCCGACAGATGCAACAGCCACTCAGTTTGCTGCTGAAGAACATTATATGCACAGATAATTTATGTTTATCAAAGCGATCCTGAAAGGTGGATGGTGACACCGGCCCCTACCAAGCCCAACAGACGCCTACCGCGTCCGAAGCCATATTCATTTGTGTTAACAAGGAAAAGAACAGAAATGGAACCTTGTATATTTATTGGAGACGTCCAATTTCATTCCTAATATTATACAGATATTCATCATCTCATTCATACCTTTGTATATCCCAGCCGTCCAAAGTCTATTCCGTTAAAAGAAAAGTATCTCCCTGTCCGCCCATGGCAAAAACAAAACAAAATAAAACAAAACAAAAAAAAAAAAAAACACAAACAGGTGAAATAAGATAAGTTCTTTACACCGGAAAATATAAACGATATCATCTCAGAAATATTCTCTTTATAATTAAAACCTTACTTAGAACAAATTCAAGTAGGGTGTCAGAAGCAGAGGGGAGAAGCAGGAAAAAGGGAAGGGGTAAAAGAAAAACCTTGATTTGTTATCTCTTAAATAAAGCACCCTTTCGGTATATAATGTCTTTCGTTTTTCGACGCAAAGTTCATTTTTGTTTTTCTGTACAGAAACGTTCCCCTTCTCTGCCCCGGACCAATGTGTAAAAAGAAAACATTACGGAGGAACAAAAGTTAAACGGCAACAATGAAAATGGTTGCGAGTTCGATTCCCGAGAAGAGGAGGGAGGGAATAGTCCGGAAGAGTCAGAATGGGCACATGCTTCTTTGTCTGGCTGCAGTAAAGGCCTAAAGGAAGAGACAGGAGTGCTTTCAATAGAAGCAGACTGTGTGCAAGAAAGTCCTTCCACTTTTCTCTTCAAATTCTTGTAACAGCTCGTCTATTTCGTTTTCCATATCTTCTGTATGCTGTATCTGGAAGGGCAAGAGCACAAGAGGAATTTAATGACTGAAAAGCAGCTCGGGGCATTTCATTGGGGAGAAATGCAGGTCAATGGGATGGTGGGAGGGGGTTCAGGATATAGGTCCGTGGACGCACGTGGATGTGTAACACAGGCACAACTGCATTTCTTTCTTGTAGCACATCCCACCCGGAGGTTATCCACACAACAGCCCTGTGAGGTAGGTTACCCGGGGAGGCCAAAGGGAAACCCAGGGAGCTTCGTGCTCTGGGGGGGACTCGAAGCCGGATCTCCGGACTCCCAGTCCAGTGCTCGAACTAACCCAGCAACCTGCTTTGCTGTTTATTCAGAGAGACGGATCTCTGCTTGCTGGAAGAGCCTGGTCAAGCAGGCTTGCGAATCCCAGGAGGGAGGCACTCCGGCCCACAGGACTTCTCCCGTCGACCCCGGAGCAGTTCGTGCTCGACAGGATTTCTTCTAGGACCCTAAACTAGAGACTGCGCAGAAAGCGTTCTGAATCCCTGTGTATTTCAAACCGTTGCCCATGTGCGATCGGAAGGACGCTTAAAATAAAGCAGCGGGAAAAGTGGGCACGGAATAGGCCGTGTGACACGGAAAAGTTTACCCAGCCCTCAGTGTGGCACCCACGAAGCCAATGCAGCTCATGGCTTTTGCTTCTCCGGCCCGGTTTTTAGACGAAGGCAGAAGGGCCGTGTTTTCGCAGCAGCGCTAGATTCCCGTGACCCGCATCGAATTCAGCGGGTTCTGTGTGCGCGCACTCACACACAAGCACGGGTGAAGCACAGAGGTGATGTCTGCAGTGTGTTCGCTATCGGATGCTCGGCCTTCCCCCTCGAGGTGCTTGGACTACAACCGGACCGACGGATCTGGTGTAGAAAGCTCCAGCGGTCTCGCTGGCAGAAGCGTTCTCACGTTTCCACCTCTGCACTCGACTGCGCTCCAGGGCCCCCCGAAAGTGTGTGGCAGGAGGAGAATGCCGTACTTACACACTGACACAGTTCGCAGATGAGGAAGGCTCCCAGCGTAGCTTCCTCGTGGTTATCCTGAATGTCTACGTTTATCACATGCACCGGCTGGCACGTCTCCTGTTCCCTGGAATTTAAATCTACGGCGACACACACACACACACACAAAAACACAATTTTAGGGGGAGCTCAAGAAATAAGCGTGCTCTTATCTCCTAAAGCCACTGTTTCTGGGTGGTTTGAGGCACAAGAGCCCTTTCCCATCATCCCCGGGTAGTGGGAGTCATTGGGCTTGAATCTGCACCCTGCAGGGGGGCAAAGCCGGGCAGGGAAAGCTCAGCTCTAGCCCATCCTTGTTCTCTTTCGTGACGCTCTTGCCAACTGAGGCCTGGTGTTGACACGATCCTGGTTCTGGGGCTTTCACAGCACCTTCCCTGAGCCTGGTACCCTCCGGATGTGCTGGGGCATGCTGGGAGTTGCATTCCAAAACATCTGGAGGCCACCAGGCCCAGGGAGGCTGCTGGGAAAAGCGCCCAACGGCCTGGCGACCTTCTGGGAATGTCTTGTCCTGGAGAGCTGCATTTCCCTCATTTCGCCGACAGAACACACGGCAGGACAGAGCTGTCTCTCCCATGGCACGGATCCTGCACGCTTCAGGACGTAAAGCCCCAGCACCGCTCGCGAGGTGGTGGTGCTGGTCACGAGGGAGCATCCTGCAAGCTCTGACCAGGGTCAGACTGAGCAAGCCAACGGTGGGCCCAGCTTACAGGTTTCCGCATTTGTCTGCAGCAGGTGAGGTTTCTGGCTGCCTTGTGCACTAGACTTATTTGCAGAAATTGTGCCAAGCGGATTTGCGGGAGAGAAAGAAAGGAGGAAATTGACCGACGGCTGTTCCTTCCCCGGAGCGCGCAAGAGGCAGCCGAGTGGAACTTCCATTTGTCTCTTGGCTTGGCGACTCATTAACGCCCTGGGAGCGACTTGCACGCCGGCATCCTTCGAAGCAGCCCAGCCTCTGCGGCAGCCGAGCAGGCGGGCGGCCTGGGCACGGAGGCAGCGCCTTGCCGAGCTGGGATCCCGCCTGCGGCCATTGCTTATTCATGAGGCGACCGGCTCCGCTCGGCTGCTTCCTAATTCGAAGCTCTGCCACATCACGGCGAGAGACGCCACGCGGCCCGGAGCTGAAGGGACCAGAGCCGGCAGCCTGGCCAACACGTCGCCCTGCTGCGGAAGCGGGGCTTGGATTGACATGGCCTCGCTGAGCTTCCCTTCTGGCACGTCAGCGTTGATGGCACTGCCTTGCTTGTTTGCAGGATCTGTACCATGCCGTTTCCCCTGCAAGGCATCCAAGGCAGGCTGGAAGGTCCTCCTCCTCACAACAACCCTGCAAGGCAGGTGAGGCTGGGAGTCAGGAACTAAGTCTGGTGCTCCAATCACCTGAAGGGGAATTTCCAAAAATGACTCATTGGGGGTGAAGTTCCCACGTGCCTTTGCTGGTTCAGCCTGCCTTTGGTTTGCAGCTTCTCTGCCATAAAGACGCAAGCCCTCTGTCCTGAAGCTTTTGCCCCCGTTTTCAGCTCCTCTGCATTTTCTGTATACTGTGATGGGCCTACCATTCTTTTTATGTTTATACCACGCTACGTATGTGCTTGGGAGAGAAGGATGGGTACCAAGGTCCAGCATCACTGGGAAATTGCTGAGGCCTCCAGTGTACCAGGGAAGGCCATTCCTAACCCTCTTCCTCCGAGCTTGCGCTGCCATGCAGTTGCTTCCTCGGAGCACAGAAGCAGCGATGAACGAACAGAGCCACGAAGGCATTCTCTACTGACTGAGCGAGCAGAAGAGAGGGCTGGGCCAATTCGGCAAGGGCCTGAAATCGAAGAATGTGCACCCATCACAGTGGCAAGGAGGTGGGGGTACCCAAGGAGTCTTGCCTGGGGCATGCAAAAGCCCCCCGCCCCAAGCAAGACTGGAAGCCAAGACTGGGGCAGAAAAGCACCCCTAAAAAGTAAGAAATTTCGGCTCCTATTGGGACCTCGAGTCGGAATTGCATTCTGCCACTATTAGTTGGGTCCATCCTGCAGCACAGCAGCGGCTCAAAAAGACGCTCAAAGCGGCCAGATTTTTTGGGAAAGAGAGAGAGATGGCTGTAGGGGGTTTTAACCTCGGCCTCCCTCATCTCGGTCCAATGCTGGAACCAGTTGCCATGTCGGCTCTCATAGTTCTCTCCTCCCGGAAGCCCCAACCAAAACTGGTTTCCATCTTCCCAAGAGCAGGGCTTACCTTCTACTACTTGATCGTAAACTCTTTCTTCACATGTCAAGATCAGATCAAAGACGTCTTTGCAGTTTTGGAATCTTTCTGGCCGTGGCTTGATCCGCTTGTTTCTGTCCAACATGTGCAAAATCCCATTCTGTGTGTAGCTGAAGTTACCAGAGTTAAGGAGGCAAAGCGATTCTGCTCAATTGTAGCTGGGTGGGTTTTGGGCTGGGCATCAGTTATGACATTTAGTGAAAAATAAATTGTGTTTCAAACCTTTGGTTAGTGTTTAATAGGCAATAAACATTTTGCCACAGTAAGAACCTGTGTATTTTTCCTCCCCTCCAGGCCAAATATCTCCTTAGAGATTTAGGGCACACCTTAAACTCCTCCTAATAAATTAATAAATAACTGTACTTATGGGAAGTCTGCAGCAACAGCATTAAAAAAGAAAACCATCCAATGCATTCTATAGCATGCCTGTCATTCAAATCGTTCGACACATATTTTTCTAAAGCAAACGTCGGCTGTAACGGGCATTTCCTAAGAAATGAAATGCTTTCCTGTAGAAAAATATCCTGGAATACCTATTCTAAGCCAGTTCCAGTTCTAATAAGCACCAAGATTAAAAAATAGCTTGGGTTTAAACTCTCCTGCTCGATTAAATGAGGGCATTCTTTTTGTCAATTAAATGTTTCTTTCTAAAAGAAAATCCTATTAATCCATTTCTTCCTAAGCTATTCTCCTGCCAAGCGTATTGGTCTACATGTGCATAGACCCAAACAACCACAGGGGGATAGGACGGGAGAAAGCAGATTAAACACTACAGAGTTAACCACGAAACACAGCAAGGCCCAGGCCTAGATAACCCCGTTTCTTCACTCACCCACACCCACACTTTTTGCCCCCGTCTCTTGTCACACCAGCCAAACGTTGAGGTGTCAAACTCTTTGGTACAGAGTCATTTTTTTGAATGCATTATACTGTAAAGTCCCACGAGTGTTGATTGCAGCAGAGAGACGCTGGGGCCAGGCGATTACAGAAGGGGCCAACAGCTTCTGTGGACAATAGTTTGACTTTGGATGCTAAAGCTGCCCCCCCGGGGTATGTTTCCTTGGCAGCAACGCCCCTCCAACTCGGACGATCTTAAGAGTCCACAAGCAGAAGGTAATACTGACTTTTGCCAATCTCCCAAACTCCAATCCTGGCTTAGCATCAGTACAGAACGCGGCTCTGAGTAGCCACATGCGACACTCTTAGAACAAAACAGACCAAATCACAGTTCTGCCTATCTGTGAAAGTTGTGGACACCTAGGAAAAGCTCAAAGAGTCCACTCCAGCAGTGGACACACAAATGGGCCTTTTAATTTCTCCCTGTACGCATTTCTATGCTTGTAAGCTCCTCAGGGCAAAGACCTGCCCGCTTGCTGCATCTTGAAAACACCACCTACAGTGGGGGTTGAGATGGGAAAAACATTTGTTCGGGGTGACCATTCATCTCCAAGAAATAAGGCACGGTGTGTTGGGGATATGTGCGCAAATGTGGGGTGACTGGCCCCCACGAGCGAAGACTGTACAACACACGGCTCTCTCATCCTCACACACAGGCACAAAATCATTGTCGGAAAGCAATGTTTTGTTCCTAAGTCCTGGGACTAGCACCAAATCCTGGTTTCGGAAGTTATTTGGGTTTGTTTTAACCATGGTTAAAGTCAGTAGAGGTATGTCTACCTGCTATTCAAGACAGAAGAAGCAGAGACTGGAACATGAAATGAGATGTGAACTTGTGGTGTGCTCTTGTTCTCTTCTTCCTGCCCATCCTTTACAGCTTTTACGGTGCAACACAAAAATGTCAAACCACACCACAAAAAAGGGGGGAGAAAAAGGAACAGAACTGAAAGATTAGGATTTTCCTTTTCAGAGGAGCACAGAAGCTGCCCTGTAACTGAGTCGTTCGCCCATCTAAGCCAATATAACCAACACGGGCCGGCAGCCGCTCTCCAGGTTTTCAGGCAGGTGCTCATCACAAAGTCACACCGATCATACGGGGGACTCCTGCAGATGTTGACATGCATCGGCAAACTGCCCCAGTGACCAAGAACGCAGGGCCTGGCTCTTGGAACGCTTCGGGGTGAGCCTGCATCCCAGAGCTCAACGCACCAACCCAGCTCCTGCAATGAAGCCCTTGCTCACCAACCCAGCTTCTGCAATGAAGCCCTTGCTCATTTTGGGGGGTGACCCATGTGTCATTTTGTGCTGTGGAGTAGGACTGAGCGACCTTAAGGGTCACAGCTGTCCCCTGGGTCCTCCCATTCGGTGCCTCCAAGGTTCCACTCCTGCGTGTTTTGGGACCCTCCTAGTTCCCTTTTCAGAGTCCCCAAGGGCGGCCGCAAACGGCTCTCTTGAGGAAGCGCTGCCTTGGTTGATCCTGACCTCCAGATACAGACAGCCACACTTTGGATTGATTCAGCAATCTGTCACATTTCAACAACCTGATTTTTTGAGGAGATGACAGTCAAGGCGTATTAATTAATTAGCCTTTCATTGCTAAGATGATTAACCTAAATTGACTCTAACGGCAGAAAATGTGAAAAAAACATTAATTAGGTCTCGGAACAGGATATTTAGAGAAACTGGCAGTAGAACGCAACTTCTCCCCCCTCCCTGTTCCATTCGCTATCCCGTTTCATTCACCACCATTTCATGTTTAATTTTAGGAGCCTCAAGAATGTGCATTTGGGAACGTTTTTCTTTTCCGCTCTCTTTTTTGGTCCCTGAAAATTCCACAACTGTATTCATCGGGGTGAGGGGTGGGGAGGTGAAGCTTTTGAAGGTGCGCAAGCACACAATTTTGCTGTACTTGATGTGCCGGCTTGTCTTCTCAATTGGCCTGCTCAATTCCAGCTGTTAAAGGAAGTGCAGTAGGCATGGAGCTGCACAAGGCAGGACTGCCAGCTGTCAATTTCCTAGCCGTCAACTGAGCAGAAAAGGGTTATAATGACAGCTCTCGAATTGTGCAAAACTCCCAAACAGCTAAAATAAACAAACAAGCTCCTAGAGATGGCGGAATGGGATGGCGCACCCACAAGTGGGGACCATTCTTTCAATCCCATTCAGCTTTAGGGAAGGCTTGTAAGATAAAGGCCCTTGGTTCATGGAGGTTTTAATTCTTTAGCATGGAGGTGGTGCTGACAAGCTATCCAACGGCTCTTCAACCCACCACGTCCAACTGCAAACGATCACTAAGCCTGGATCTAGCCCTGCCCTTCGTTCTTCCAAACTTCTTCCTGCCGTACTGCAAGAATGCCAGCCCTGAAGTGTCCTCAGTCCAGAAGGCTGCTGTGGGGTTGGGGACACCCCGTGTCTCGCTGAGAGAGGGGCAACTGCGGAAGCTGGAACCACGTCCCAAGAACAACCCAAGCCAAGAACGTAACATGCCTCTGGCTGAGGCCAAAAGGAGGGCCTAAAGCCAGTGACTGAAGCGAAGTAGACCTGGCTCCCAGCTGTGACCGGAAAAGAAGCCATGCATAAGCCATGTTGGCTCCTAGAAGGAAAACCAGGGTATACACCTATCCAAAAACACTTTCTGGGAGCATCAGAGGAAGAAGCCAGAAGATACACACTTAAATCTGTCTTTCCTGGGTGCCGCTCCAAACCACAGCTGCAACTTCCAAGAGCCCCGTGGCATCTCTGTTTGCTTTTTTCTTGAGTCACCTCTTCGGATATCTCATCCTTTCCTGATATTCAACAACCCCTTCTTTTGCTTTTTAAAAGGCTTCGCCCAAACTTGCCTTCTGCGGCTGACCTTCTTAAGTTTTTTGGCTCTCTTGAAAACCTTTCTTTGGTGACCCAACTCAGTGGACTTAGTCCATCTTAAGCTGAGCAAGTGCACACTTACACACACACACACACACACACGGTTTCTCTCCTCTTATTCCTTTGCTCTCATGGGGCTTCAGGAATGGAAGGCTATTTGGTTCAGACTAGGATTATTACTGTGCCATAGAGAGCCAGTACAACCTTGGACTTAATGGTGCTATGGGCCCCTTCTTTAGAGGGCCGTGCGTGTAGACAGTGTGGTCGAATGGTTAGAGTGTCGGGCTGGGACCCAGAAGATCTGGATTCGTATGAACTCAGCCCTGAAGCTCACGGGGCGACTCTGGACAAGCCACTGACCTTACCGACCCCGTAGGATTGTTGGGAGACGAAACGGAATGGAGGAATTGGCAAGTCACCCTGTATCCCTTGCAGGGAAAAGGCAGGGTGTAAATCTAACAAAGAAAAAGGCTCAGCACAGGAAAAGCCACTCCAGAGATCAGAACTGGTTCTGCAGAACAGGGGGCTCACGCTGTTTTGGGATGCTGCAGGGTTTTCCCAGCCTTCCTTGCTCAATGCTTTTGGAAAGGCAAGCATTCAAACTGGGTCACGTACGAAACATAAGGTAGCCCCTCTTCGGCCCTTGTGTGTCCAGGGTTGGACTTTAAAAAAAGGTGGTGCACACAGTGGGCAGAGAGCGTGTGCCTTCAACAGGAGCGCTGAAATTTGGTGGACAGGTTGTCCCGTAGGGTGAAAAGGGTACGGCAGTCACTGTCACACAACCAGAGGGACAAAAAAATGCCCTCGTTATTTTATGTTTTTGCTGCACCTATCAACCCTCAGCTTTCGTTCTGCTCTCTCCATTTTTTTCTACTCCTCCAAAGCAGTGGGGGGAAAAGCGTTGACAGCTCTAAGACAAGGTCCCCAACCTATCTGGACCCACAGGAAGGCTTGGGAATGGGAGAACGCCGCAAAAACCCATGATTCACCTCTCTGGCAGCACAGACTGCCGCTCGTTCAGCAAAACCTTTTCTTCTGTGTCTAGTGCATGCGGCAACAGCACATTAATACGGAATTATCTACCTCAGCAAATTGCTGGTGGTGCAATACAGCTCATGTTTCTATTATCCACATGCTTTGCCCATTATCCACAGTTGCCTCTTTCAGGGAGGAGTTATTACAGAGATGAATTTTGTCGCAGAACAGTCTTTTAATATCCACAGTTGTATGTGCTCTTTTAAATTATTTGTCAGATTCATGGAAAATTAACAAATAGGAGAGGAAATGGATCCTCTAGATCCTTTTGACAGCTAACAGACTGATATGAGAACGTTTTAAGGAGAAAAAA